GTAAATAGTACTCCCATTTATTTTTATTTCTGCTTCATTTATATGCAAATTATATGACAGTGTTTGTTGAATCATGCATGCTTTCAGCTCAGATAATTAATATAGGCTTCACATTTATAGTTTTCTTAAATTAGTAGCTTTGTTTTAAAAGAACTAAAATGTAAACCTTCAGGAAGAGCATGTCTCTGATAAAAATTGAAAATAATAAACTAAATAAAGACCCAAAAAGTTGTCTTCTCTCACGATCTAGAATGGGTGTCCTAGAATCTAATACAAATCTTCTACTAAGCATGATCACTTATAGACTTTTGTCTCAACTGGCACGGTTTCTTTCATTTGGCGTATTGTATACGCAGAGGATACCTATATGATTTATCTTCCAAACCAGTATGCTTTGAGAGTGAACTGCGACTATCTTGGGCAAACTGGGGAGTATGGTCACCAAGAATGCATCTAATGAAATATTAAAGCATGACCCATTAGAACTAGAGAAGAACGTGCAAACCCAGCTAAATGTTTGTGATTTCTATCATTCATTCATTCCACAAGTATTTATTGAGCGTCTACTATGTGTCAAGCACAGTCTAACAAGGGTATAGTGATTGAGACCCAGAGAGATCCAAGCACATCCAGCTAGTAAGAGTCAAAGCCGGCTGGGCATAGTGGCTCAAGCCTGTAATCCCAGCACTTTGGGAGGCCAAAGCAAGAGGATTGCCTGAGCCCAGTGATTTGAGTACAACCTGGGAACTTGGTGAGACCTCATCTCTGCAATACATCAAAAAAATTTAGCCAGACATGGTAGCACATGCCTATAGTTCCAGCTACTTGAAAGGCAGAGGCAAAAGGATCTCCTGAGTCCAGCAAGTTGACACTGGGGTGGCCATGAGCGTGCCACTGTGCTCCAGCCTGGGCAACAAAGTGAGACTCTGACTCAAAAAAAAAAAAGAGTCAAAGCCAAATTGACATAGACACTTTCACCTCCCCAAGAATCAGTTTCCTCATTTCTTAAAGACTAAAATGAGGATAACACAGTTGGCTTTTCATGTCTGCAGGTTCTGCGATCAAGCAAAATATCAATATAAATAAAAGCAATACCATTTAACAATTGTTTACATAGCATTTGCATTGTATTAGGTATTATAAGTAATCTAGAGATGGCTTAAAATATATAGGAACATGTGGATAGGTTACATGCAAATACTACACCATTTTTTATTGAGGACATGCACATCTGCAGATTTTAGTATTTGAGGGGGTTATGGCACTTTGCTAGACAGTTTATGTACATAAAATCCTCAATACAGCTAGCTAGATAGTGTCATTTCCCTCATTTTACAGATGAAGAAACCAAGGCTGAGAGAATTTGTCAAAGGGCACTTTCCTGGTAATTTATGAGTAGAAATTTCAATACCAGTCATATTAACCCAGAGACCACACTTTAATCTTTAACAGGATTGTTTGGGGGAACTCTGTTAGATATGTATGTCCCAGAACCTTGCACAGAGTAAATACTCAATAAACATTTGCTGAATTTAAATCAGTAAGGATATGACCAATTGGTACAACCAGCTAATGTCCAGCAACTTTTTTCAAACCAAGCCATTATCACTCTGATGTACTAAAAGCTTCTAATAAGAGCATTAGCTGTCAATTGAATAAGTAAACCATGACATTAGGAAGAAAATGGCCAGCACATGTGCACAATTTGCTTATTTGCTGATTAGTATGAGGCCAGCAGATGTCAGTATGAGCCGCCATGACTGTAACCATAAATTGACATGTTAGACCTTGACTCCCAGAACTGTTTTCTTCCTTCCAATGACACTGGTAACTAAATGACTGTATAGTTACTACCGAGCAGTGATGTCTGGAATGAGACTATGGAGTCCTAATTAGGGGAATGGTCCAGAAAAAATTAAAGAAGGGATGACTTGGGTAGTGAGAATGGAAATGGTAAGGTAGTTTGACAGTTGGGAAACACTTAGCCAGATTGCTGGCACATGAAGGGTTGATACTTCTGAAGAAGCAACAATATGGGAGGCTGGGAGAGGCAGATGGCCATACAGCTGGAACACTAGTCTCTACTTCCCTGATGCTTTTTTTATTTTCTGACATTCAGAGCAGAGCCTCGTATGATGATAATCATCATCATGATGTCTGTGATGGGGTATATTTTGAGCATTATTGGTCCTATTTTTCTTTAGGAAAGTGTTGGTATAACCTAGATGCTTAGAGTATGTGCTGTACAATCAGGTAGACCTGGGTTGAAATTTGGGGTCTAGTTGAGGATCTGAGTACAGCGTGGGTGCCCAGCCTTTACCTACCCATAGTATACGATGAGGATCCTGAAAATTCACAAAGGCAATTTATTTTTAGCCTTTTTTTTTCAGTGTGAGACCCTAATGCAGTTATTTTTTATGCCCATTAATTACTAGTTGGCTTCTTGATTGAGAATCATGAACATCAAACATTGAATTAGAGAGGTTTTCACTAGTATGTTGATTTGAATTTAGTTCCTTTAAGCCCTTAGTCTGATACCTTGCCTTCTACCTTTTGGCTGGGAATGTTCTGTAACTCAGTGATGATATTTTTCAGATGAGAAATATGTTCAAATTATTTGATTCTGATTTGTAAAGTCATCTCAGTGAACAGACAGGCAAAGATACAAAAATGATAATTACACATTCCACAAATGAGCTAACTTGGAAAGTGAGATTCTATGAAACAAGGACTCTCCTAGGACACCCAATGCTTATGCCACACCCTAAAGCATGGAGAAGGCTCTCATTCCCCTCACACAGTGCTCAGAATCAAGCATTGGGCGCTGCTCAGATCACACATGTGACCCTACATGGCGAGAGGGGCCCTTCTTTTCCCTTAACAGAAGCACAGCTATGGAAGAGGAAATGCTCATCTCACTTATGATCCTGAAAGAGTGATTTATGACGGGAGGAAAAGGATGGGTGCACCAGTCCACTTAATGCCTTGACTGGAAAAACTTGATCTCTTAGCACTGACTGGGTCAGAGAACCTGGTCGCCAGAACTCAGCTGAACTCCCAACTTCAAAGAAATTTGCTTTCAGCAGTAAAGGTTTCAATCTCCACTTTGAAAAAGTGGTGACTTTTCCTTCCCCATTACCCATCAAAGTGCTGGGGTCTCTGGAAGGAGTCTGGGTTCTTCTCTAAAATGTTTTCCTTCTAAGAAAGAAAAGGGGCAGGAAGAAGCATTTGAGAGTATGGTTTTGGCTACTCGCTGTGGCCCAAATTAATCAAAGCTGCTTGGTCTTCCGGAGATCCCGGTTAACGAATGGCTCAAAAAACAGCATTCATTTAAAGACAGAAATGGTTCCTGCGAAATTTTTAACAGAATCCTGCAAACGATAGTAAAAACATGTATTGGAAACTCGAAATTAGCAATGAGAACATAAGCCTGGTGTGCATCACCAGAGATTGTGTTCCTCATTATAGATACTCAAAAGATTACCATGTACAAGTTTATCTTTTTCTTTTAATGAAATGCTCAAAAGCCATGACAGGAAATGTTCTATGTGACTGCTCAAGGTCAGCCCTTCAGACAATTGAGATTACTTTCATCCAAGTCAACTCTAAAATTCATTTCTCTGGACAGAATTGGATGGCATTATCAAAGCAAAAAGTGGGATTGTTTCGCAACGTGAAAAGCTTTGAAATAAAAAGTGTTTGGCAATAAAGGTGAGAGGCTCTCTGACAGCATTCTGCTGTCCCGAGCCTATTTAAAAGGACCCCACTTTTTCCAACAAAGGCATCAAGAAAACACCTCCATGGTGCAAGCCTGGGTTTCCCTTTAGGGGGCTCAGGTAAGAAACACTGCATGTTGAGTGTCTGATTTGGGGCTGATTTTCCCTAGGAAACTTTGAAAGTGCTCACACAGTAAGCCTGAGATCGCACAAAGTTTAGTGCTAAGAGCAAAACTGGACATACTGTATTTTGAGGGAGAACATGAGAAAAAACATTTCCAAGGGCAATGTCTAGTCTGCCACCCCAGTGGAGGTCGGCACAACTGGGCATCTCCACCTAAGTCTACTCCAGCCGACATGCGAGATTCAAATGTCCTGGAGACTGGCCATCATCCAGAACCTGTAGAAGCTCTGGTGGTGGTGGTTTCTTCTGTGTGACTTTCCTGATAATTCATGGGACTGGGAGATGAGCCAATCCATTTTTAAACCTACCGATCTTTCCCATTTCTTCTTCAATGTCATCAATCCCGTGGGTTTTCTGCTCTATGGAGTATTAGTATACATGGCTTGCAAGCAGTAGAAACTGATTCTGACAAACTCGGGAGCAAAAGGGGGAAAAAAGGAGAAAGAGAGAGAATATTGGGTAGTAAATAAATTGAAGGAAAGGATGAGAAACCAGGCCTTAGAAAGGGCAAGAGCAGAGATAATCTGAGCATTCAGCTGCAGGAACTACCAGACATGCTCTTCAAAAAGACTTCTGTCTCAGGATACAGTTGTGACCCTTCAGTTCCCATCAGTTTCGCATTCCAAGAGAGAATCTTTTTTTTTTTTTGGTTGGAGTCTCACTCTGTCGCCCAGGCTGGAGGGCAATGGCACGCTCCCGGCCACCGCGGCCTCGACCTGCTGGGCTCCGGCGATCCTTCCACCTCAGCCTTACAAGTAGCCAGAACTACAGGTGCCTGCTACCACACCTGGCTAATTTTTGATTTATTGTAGAGATGAGGTCTCGCCAAGTGACCCGGGCAGGTCTCGAACCCCCAGACTCAGGCAATTCACTCACCTCAGCCTCCCAAAGTGCGGGATTACAGGCTGAGCCACCGAGCCCGGCTCCAAGAGAAAATCTTACTGTCCCAGTTTGATCAGCGATGGGTAGAGTCTTTTAACTGCTAATCCTACCAAGATGAGGGAAACAAGAGAAATAACTACACTGATGGTTTTAGCTTTGGACTGTATGATCCACCTCAATTGACAATGCTGATTCTCCTCTTCCCGGTTGTCTTTCAGACATCAAGGAAGTTTTTTCCTATCACATTCTTTGGCTCCATCTCCTGGATTGCAGTGTTCTCTTACTTGATGGTCTGGTGGGCGCACCAGGTAAGACTTTGAACGTAACATCCATCTACCTGGTTTTTCTCCAGTCTTGGTTGTCATGGTTAATTAATGTGTTTGCTTTCTGAAACTACCACAACAATATTGAATGTGACACAGACAAGTTATTCTTTCCAAGATTAAAGGAATTTATCCACTGGACTTTCCCTAGTCTCCAGAGATTTCCCTGTAATGTGAAGTCAAATTGGCACAGCCCCTGTATAGCCATCTAGAGGAAAGCAAGTTTAACTGCCTTTCGCCCTCAGCAGCCTGAAGCCAGGCAGACCCAGGCCAGGAGGAATGTCAGGATTTCACCTGGCTCAGTGACACTTACTTACCCAGTCACTCCCCTCAGGCTCTCACCAACCTTTCAAAACTGGCTGGTAGGAAAGTGCCTGGAAACAAAATGGCCCTCCCCTGGGCTCTAGTTTATAAGAATGATGATGTCTTTCATCTTTATCACATTTAACTCAGTACTAGTCATAATGCCTATCACAAGAATACACTCTCAGTAATTGCTACTGAAAAAGCATGAATGAGTGACACACAAGAGTATTTTCCAAGATAGTGGTGGTAACCATTGATAGTTGAGTGTGGACTGCATGCCAGGCAATTCACATCCCTTTGTCCTTATAATCTTGACAACATTCCTAAATAGGTTTAAATCCTATGAGGGAGGTACTATTGTTACCCACAGTTTACAGATAAAGTTAAGTGTAAAGCAGATAAGGAGATCACCCAAGACCACACAGACAGTAAATAGTAGAACTGAGATTCAATCCCAGGAATCTGCAACTCCAGAACTCATGCTTTTAATCTCTATTTTATACTACTTAAATTCCAAACTTCTCACTTGTATCCTTTGTTTAATATAGACCTAAATGTATTATGCTTGCTAACATAAATAAAATATAGCAATTTGAAATAAGGAAATATATACCAAGAACATATGTGGATAGACTTTTCAACAAATGGTGCTGGAATAATTGGATTTCCATATGCCTAAATAAATAAACTTAGAGCATTACCTCATACTATACTCAAAAATTAACTCAAAGTGGATCATAGTTCTAAATGTAAGAGCTAAGACTATCAAACTTTTGGAAGAAAGCATAGAAAATCTACATGATCATAGATTAGGCAGTTATTTGCTATAATACCAAAGTGTGATCCACAAAGAAAAAAATGGATAAATTAGATTTTATCAAAATTAAAACTTTTACTCTTCAAGAAACGCCATTTAAAAATGAGAAGAAAAATCACAGACTAGGAGAAAATATTTGCGAAATATTATCTGATACAGCATTTATTTCCAGGATATAGGCTGCTAAAGCTCAATAATAAAGCAAGCTTCCTAATTTTTTTTTTTTTTTTTTTTGAGTCAGGGTCTCACTCTGTTTCCCAGCCTCAAGCATAGTAGCATGATCACAGTTCACCACAGCTTTGACCTCCTGGGCTCAGGCAATCTTTCTGCCTCAGTCTCCTGAGTAGCTGGGAATATAGGCATGAATCACTGCACCCGGCCAGCATCCTAATTTTTAAGATTTCAATAGATAGTTCACCACAGGAGATATGCAAATGGATAATATGCACAAGAAAATATGTCTAACATCATTGTTGATTAGAAAAATATAACTCAAAACCATAACAAGATACCACTTTACACACACTAGGATAGATATAACAAAAAAAAAAGAAGGAAAATAACAAGCGTTGATGAGAATGTATAGAAATTGGAACCCTTATATGCTACTGATAGAAATACAAAATAATGCAGTCACTTTTGGGAAACAGCTTGGCAGTTCCACAAAATGTTAAACATAGAGTTACCATATGATCCAGCAATTCCACTCCTAGGAATATACTTAAGAGAAATGAAAACATATGTCCACAAAAACTTGTACTCAAATGTTCAAAGTAAAATTATTCATAATTACCAAAAAGTGGAAACAGCCCAAATGTCCATCTACTGATGAATGCATAAGTAGCATGTGGTATGTCCATACAATGGAATAGTATTTCACAATAAAAAGTACTAAAAAAAAAAAAAAAAAAAGAAGTACTCATACAGGCTATAAGATGAATGAAACACCAAAGTATTATGCTAAGTGAAAAAAGCCAGTTACAAAAGGTCACCTATCCTATGACTCCACTTATATGAAAGGCACAGAATAGGCACATCTATAGAGAGGTAATATAGGTTAATGGCCACCTAGGTTTGGGGGAAATGGGAAGTTACTGGTAATGGGTATGGGGTTTCTTGGTGGGATGATGAAAAAGTTCAAAACCTAAATTATGGTGATGACTGCACAACTTCTTTAATACATGAAAAGCCATTCAATTATACACTTTAAATGGGTGAATTTTATTGTATGTAAATTGCATCTCAATAAACATGTCTAAAAATATTCATGAGACATCACTTTACAACCACCAAGTTGGCTATAAAAAAAGCAGACAGCACCATGTGTTGTGGAGAAACATGGCTGCATACATTTGTGAAAACTTGCAAAACTGCACATTTTAAAGGGAGGATAAATTATACTGTATGTTAAGCATACCTTAATTTAAAAAAAAAAAAAAAAAAAGAATATATGTTACTAGCAAAACCCGCTGGAAATTTTGGTTGTTATACCAAGCCTTATTCCTATAATATATTTTATATTATTCCTGTCATAGCTATTCCTCTAACATTGGATTTCAGATTTCTCTTCCTGGACAATTCCAAAAATCGTTGTCTCCCTGAGGAAATTCTCTTTGCCCTGAAGTCGTATTTTCTACCTTCATTGAGAGACATTTGCTCCCAACACCTGGCAGAAATTGTAGCAGAAGGTGGGCTGCTTCTCAGCCTCCAGGTTTCCAGACTGAAAGGACTGTTTACCATTTATAGTGTATAATGGCTTTCTTAATATCATTTTTATGCTTTTATGTACAGATAAAGAAAAAAGTGATATTTCTAACTTGCTGGGATATGTTGTTTTCTAGATATTTCTTTTTAGCCATCATCCTAGAAGATTCCATCTTTTTCTTTTCTTTTTAATGATTATCTTAATTCCACAGTCTTGTGTTCTTTTCATTCCCTTGTAGAAAAGGAATACAAATTCAATGTCTGGAATAATAATAATTTTTTAAAAACCAAGAAGTTTGAAGGGCACACAGAAGTCTTTCTTTTCAGTCATAAAAGTTTCTCTTTCCTTTCTCCTATAGAAAGATCTCTCTCTTTCAAACACTCAGACAACTGATCAAAATAACAGATTCTGTTCTAAGAAGTCTAGCTCTAATTCTCTTGTTTATACTTTTGAATTATAAAAACTTTAACAGTAGTACCATTTAGTGCTCAACCATTTTGTTATCAAAAGTTTTCTCAATCACAAATACTGTTTGATAAATTATTTGGCTACAGTTTGGCCAAAAATAAATGCCCTTCACATAAAATACTTTATACACTTTGCCCTTAGCTTTTTTCCTATTTTTCTTTTTTCCCTTCGGTTTTGATTTTTGTTGTTGTTGTCTATTGATTTTGCATCTTAGTCACTTTCACGTGTGATTAAAAACCTGTGGTCAAAATCCATCCTACATCTAGTAGGAGAAGTTAGTTGTAAGGGCCAGATAAGACCTCATGTCTCACATAGCCAACAAAACATTCTTGCCGATCCAGCTTAAACCAAGGCATGGAGCTGCATGGAGGAATATTGGGAGCTGCACTGGGTTTGGCCTCTGAGTGGCCCCATCATTTGCTTCTATTAGAAAATAAGGGAATTCTCCCAAGAGACAGCCAAGGTCCTTTCTAGCTCTAAGTTTCTATGATGCTCCCTGATTTAATCAGAGTAATATCCCATCTATGCACCCATCATCTTCCCTCTGAATTGACAAAAGTCAGCTTCAGTGAAATGTACTCAAAACGAGCTTATAAAGACTACTTCTCCTTCAATGAACATGTTTCCAGAGCCATGCAGAGTCATCAGAATTTTTATATCTAAAGAAAATTCTTAGGCCGGGCACTGTGGCACATGCCTATAATCCCAGCACTTTGGGAGTCCAAGGTGAGAGGATAGCCTGAGCCCACCGGTTTGAGACCAGTCCCGGCAACTTGGCGAGACCTCATCTCTACAATAAATAAAAAGATTAGCTGGGTGTGGTGGCACATGCCTGTAGTTCTAGCTACTTGGAAGGCTGAAGTGGAAGGATCACCTGAGCCCAGCAGGTCAAGGCTGCGGTGGCCATGAGCATGCCACTGCCCAGCCTGGGTGACAGAGTGAGGCCAAGCATGGTGGTGGGTGCCTGTAGTTCCAGCTAGTTGAGGTGGAAGGGTCGCCTGAGCCCAGCAGTTGGAGGCTGCAGTGGCTGTGAGTGTATCCCTGCACTCCCAACCTGGGTGACAGAGTGAGACTCCAACTCAAAAAAAAAGGAAAGAAAGAAAAGAAAATTCTTTACCCCTGTGGTTTCCCACATTATGAATTGACCCCGGTAAACCAGCTTCTGTCCCTACTGCCTTGACAGTCTGACAAAGTGGATCAGGAAAAGGGTAATGTCTAAGTTATAAGAATCTAATACTTATTGAACATTTACTTTATGCCTGACACTGTGCTGTTTTGCTTTATTTGCAACGTCACATAATCATCAGTAATTCCTAGTAGATATTACTGTCATCATTTTACAGATGGGAAGAACTGAGACTTCAGGGATATCGGCTTGGGTTTATTTGTACCGTCGTTTCTCCAGCCAGTGCTTTTACCCACACCATCATTCTTCTCCCCTTCAACTCATATGTGTTCCTGTCTATAGTAGCATTCAAAATCCAAATATAAATAATTTTTAAAATTTATTTGTGTAAGCCGGGCTCGGTGGCTCAGCCTGTAATCCTGCGCCTTTGGGAGGCTCAGGTGAGTGGATTGCCTGAGCCTGCGGGTTCGAGAACCGCCTGGGCAGGCGAGACCTCATCTCTACAATAAAGTCAAAAAATTAGCCGGGCGTGGTAGCGCGCGCCTGCAGTTCCGGCTACTCGGAAGGTTGAGGCAGAAGGATCACAAGAGCCCAACAGGTCGAGGCTGCGGTGGCCAGGAGCGGCCACTGCACTCCAGTCTGGGCGACAGAGTGAGACTCCAACTCAAAAAGAAAAAAAAAAATTATTTGTATTTTGGGGACAGGGTCTTTCTATATTGCCCAGGTTGGTCTCAAACTCCTGGGCTTAAGCGGTCCTCCTGCCTCAACCTCCCAAATAGCTGGGGCATGCCACCGTGCCCAACTAAATGATTTTTTAAGTAGTCACAGCTTTAGAACTCCAAGAATTTAGATTATTAAGAATGCTGTAAATAGACTGGAATTGCTTAGGGTGACAATTATTTAGTCAACCTCTTCACAGCCTTTGACAATGTTTCACTCTAAATCTAATCGAAAAATGTCATCAAGAAGAATATTTTGCTCAAACAGGGCACTTCTGTGCAAAACTCTTATTTAACTTTTGTCTAAGAGAATCAGTGGAAAACATGCTTAGTGAAACCACCTGCATAAGCAGGTTGATTGAGTCATTCACAAATAGGTATTGAGAGCCTCTACTGTCAATGGGGAGACCACCGTGGCCAAGGCAAGACCCTACTCACGTGAAGACAGGGCTAAACGGGTCTAAACTAGTGCATCCCTCCAGGCCCTGGAGCCAGCATGGTCGTCAGAATGAAAATAGCTCCTAACTATGCTTCTAAGCCAGTAGGAACCAAACATTACTTATTAAAAAAGAAAAGAAAAGAAAAGAAATGGGCAAAGAGCTGTGGCTCACACCTATAACCCTAGCACTTTGGAAGGCTGAGACAGGAGGATTGCTTGAGCCCAGGAGTGGGAGACCAGCCTAGGCAATGCAGCAAGACCTCGTCTCTACGTAAAAATCAAAAGATTAGCTGGGCGTGGTAGTGTATGCCTGTAGTCCCAGCTACATGGGAGGCTGAGGTGAGAAGGTCACCTAGCCCAGGAGGTCAAGGCTGCAATGAGCCATGGTCATGCAGTCTCATTGCCAAGTCTGGGCAACAGAGTAAGATCCTGACTCAAAAAAAAAAAATATATATATATATATATTTATATATATACTTAGAAGTGAGTATAGTCTACCTCCTAAAAACATTTATCCTTATGTGCTATTTTGACCTTTCCAATTTTTTAAAAAAACACTAGCTGTCATCAGGTAGCCTGTTGGAAATCGGATGGAAAGCGCCATCTTGAACTGCGATTCAACTCTAGCAAAATACAGAAAGACTTTAAAAGTCCCAAGAAGACAAATGAATTGCTCAAAAGAATGGAGGAGTTTTCAACTGAAGCTAGACCAGCCCTCAGAAATCGTCCTAAAAGACAAAGATCAAAAGAAAATGTAATGGCCTCTCTCCCACACTTGCCTTTCAACAATGAGATACGATTTACAAGGGGGTCTTTCCACAAGTTGTCGTTGAGTCCTCACAAATACCTGGTAAGGTAGTCACTATTGTCCCCACTCTGTGGATGAGAAAGTGAGGAACAAAGACGTGTACATGGGTCGTTAGCAGCAGGTCAAGAACTTAGCTCAGACTGAGCTGGACCTTGAACCCTGATCCTCTGATTTCCTGACTTCTGCTTCTCCATAACTGCCTTGCTGGTTTACAGTTGTGCATGACCAAACCCCAAAACACCCAAAATCAAGTTTCCTGTGGAAATGGTAGAGTCTTAAAGTGTTTCAGAATGGGTTACAAAGCCTAGGAGATGGTAAGGAAAAATGGGGACAATGGGTGTGTCTGTCCTTGTCTCCTGGTGGTAAGTTGCAGGGCAAGCAGACCGCAGAACTTGGCGCCCCTGCAAGGTGATTTCCTTGGATTCCCTGGCCAGTTGGCTTCTCTAACGTTAATCTTGCAGCTTTCCCAGTTTGGTAGACAATGGAATATTACACACCCAGAAAGGAGAACAAAATTATAGACTTCGCAGCAACTTGAATGGACTTAGAGTCTATCATACTCAGTGATCTATGACAGAAACAAAGAACAGAGTGCCACATGTTCTCACTCATAAGTGGACCCTGAACATTTACCATAATAAAATAAAAAAGGGATTGGCAGTAGCGGGACACTGCCAGGGGAAGGAGGGGGCACATAACATCAATAACTTTATCTGTACGATGACCACTTTATGATGATCCCTTTACGATGATCTGTACTTTACGATGATCTGTACGATGACCCGAACTTTATCTGTACGATGACCACTTGCATACCTAAATCAGAATTGCACCACGCATCTTTAAAATAAAAACAATTAAAATAGCCGGGCTCGGTGGCTCAGCCTGTAATCCCGCGCCTTTGGGAGGCTGAGGTAAGTGGATTGCCTGAGCCCGCGGGTTCGAGACCCGCCTGGGCAGCGAGACCTCATCTCTACAATAAATCAAAAAATCAGCCAGGCGAGGTAGCGCGCGCCTGTAATCCCGGCTACTCGGAAGACTGAGGCGGAAGGATCGCCGGAGCCCAGCAGGTCGAGGCTGCGGTGGCCGGGAGCGGCCACTGCACTCCAGTCTGGGCGACAGAGTGAGACTCCAACTCAAAAAAAAAAAACAATTAAAATAAAATAAAAAAGAAAGCACCATATAGCTGCCACACTCTAGCCCTCTATAGCTCTTGTCTATTTGAGATTATCTGTTTAATACCCATGTGAACATTCCTGATGCCTTGGGTCTGAATATTATAAAAGTATAAACTCTTCTATCGGCAATGATGTTGGTTTATTTATCTTTATCATCTTAGCACTTCACATAGCACAGAACAGAAACTCATTAGAAGAAGGTTACATTAAAATGTGTGTGGGTTTGATGGTTTTGTGACTTCAAATACTCATGTCTATCCCTGTAATGACGTTTAGGTTGGAGAGACAATCGGCATTAGTGAAGAGATTATGGGTCTGACCATCTTGGCTGCTGGGACCTCCATCCCTGATCTTATCACCAGCGTCATAGTGGCCCGGAAGGGACTAGGGGACATGGCCGTGTCCAGCTCTGTTGGCAGCAACATTTTTGACATCACTGTTGGGTGAGTAGAAATAATCCTATAAAGGTACACACCGGCTCCATCACTGTCTTCATCTTAGATGCTGAAAAGACATGACCAGGATCTCTGAGCCCAAAACTAACCAATACCAGTGGAAAGTGAAGACAGTAGTACCCCTGGGTTTCAACAATGCTATTTTTCCATTTCAGAGAACTTAATAAAGTCACCCCAAGACAAGGAGAAACAAATAACTGCATACAGAATGTTTTAGAAAATACTTAAGATAATTTCACCTTTTTTTTTTTTTTTTTGAGTTGGAGTCTCACTCTGTTGCCCAGGCTGGAGTGCAGTGGCACAATCATGGCTATCGCAGCCTTGATCTGCTGGGCTTAGGCGATCCTTCTGCCTCAGCCTTCCAAGTAGCGGGGACTATAGGCATGCGCCACCATGCCCAGCTAATTTTTTTATTTATGGTAGAGATGAGGTCTCACCAAGTTTTGCCCAGGCTGTTCTCGAACCCCAGGGCTCAGGCAGTCCTCTTTCCTCCGCCTCCCAAAGTGCTGGAATAACAGGTGTGAGCTGCCGCACCTGGCTAATTTCACTTATATAACAGCATTCAGGAAGGACTGAGATACTCTGATAGCTTCACAATATTTTTTTTTCTGTATTCTAATTCTGAAAGTCCCCACCAGCCTAAGATGAAATTTGAATTTTAAGGCAGATTGAGACAAACTTAGGCCTAGCACAAATATCCTGTCTCCTTCCATGGAAAGTGCTGGCAGTCAAGACATTATCATTTGTTTATCTGTGCCGGTGAAGATATTCCAGGTTTTTTGAAAGTCAGAAGATAAAATCTGTTCTTATCGTTAAGCAAACTGGAGTTCTCAATATGAATAATCGCTAAAGTGAGTCAGATCGGGGAGGGGTACTGTTATCTCTACCTTTTTATTTAACTTGTCAAAAGTAACAGTAGATCTGAATGGTAGCCCCCTGAGAAAATGAGACATGAGATGTTATCAGATGTTCCCAGGAGAACTAGGCTCTTGACACTTGAGTTTGGAACCTCATGAAAACGCACTTACTTTCTCACTGAACATCTTGAATATTGTTCTCTGTTTTTTCATGGCTTATTGTTTTTCCTGCAACGTCTACTATGTGCACTGTACATCCATTTTTATCCAGTTAAGTCACACAACAGCCCTAGGAAATATGCATCACCATCCCTGCTTTTCAGATAGGAACCCTGAAGCGCACAGAGTTCACATCACAAGTAAGTGAGGTCGCTGAAATTTGAGCAAGTATCTGTGCTGTCACACGTGATGCTCTGAGCTTAGCTTCTGCTGTGGGAACTACCTGTGAGCCCCCCGGGTTCCCTCTCCTCTGTACTTCCTTCCTTCGCTGGTCCCTTTCACTCAGCCCTCCCTGCTTGTCTTCCCGGAAAACTCTGAGTTCTCTGATGCCCCTGGCCGAACTTGGGAACTCTTGCCCCCGTGGACTCTCTACATGTCTTTTTCTTGTCGTGGTCATGTCTGCTCGCAAGACTGCAAATTCCCAAGAGCGGAACTCACCAAAGTCTAGCACCCTGCCATTCATGGGGAGTGACTTGACAAATGTTTGTGGAATGGATGGGTGGATGGATGGGTGGATGGATGTCTTCAAAGGTATATGTTTTCAAGGAAGTTATCCCTACAATAAGCAGCGTTTCTCAGTTCTGCTGTCCACATATTTATAGTAGTTAGATTGGCCAAGAAGGTCAATCTCTCATAAAAAAAGAAAAACAATGTTCTATAGTATAAAAAGAGAAAGTCCTATGAGCTGAGAAAAAGTATGTGTTCAGTTTGACATATTTTTCATATTTCCGAAAAATAAACATAGGGAATTACAAAATGCTTTGTGTGCATTGTTCTCAAATTGTATATATACATATATGTACACACACACACACACACACACACACACACACCTCAAGTGAAAAAACTTAAAAAATTATTCCTAATCTTCCTACCCAGAAACAACACTTCATTTTTCTAAGTTCTCTTCCAAATATTTCACAAGCTTTTCTTGGTGAAATATTCAGTTTTGTCCTCTTGGAAGGTTTTTTATTTTTCCATTTTTAAAGCAATGTATGCCTGGCACAGAGAGGCATCTATTAATAAATTGGTAAAGCATATCAACCATTTTTCTAAGATTCCTCATGGCTCTCCTAACATTTTAGTTGGCTTCAAAACTTCTTCGTGTTGCTTTTCAGTTCAACCATTATCCTTTAACAGGATCTTTTTTTTTTTAATTTTGTGCTGTTATGGGTGCTTTGATGAATACCTTTATGCAGAAAAACCTCCTCTTTTTTCTTCAAGCAGTATTAATGGATTAAATATTTTGAGCATTTTAATGGCTGTTGATATATTTTGTACATTTCTTTTCCAAAAGAGTTTTTCCCAACAATCGACAATGTTGTTGGCAATATATTGAGTGACATCATTAACAATATATTAAGTTTTAAAGTTTCTCCATAGTCTTGCCAACATTTTCTTTTCACTTCTAAAAGTAACATATACTCACTGATTTAGAAAACACAAAGCACAAAAAAGACCAATTATAATCCACCACCATTTTAAAATTATGAATATTTTACATTATTGCAATTACATTATTTTATGTGTTTGTTTGAGTCAGGGTCTCACTCTGTCACCAAGGCTGGAGTGCAGTGACACAATCATGGCTCGCCGCAGCCTCAGCCTCCTGGGCTCAGGCGATCCTTCTGCCTCAGCCTCCCAAGTAGCTGGAACTGCAGGTACACACCACCACACCCAGCTAAATGCTTTATTTTGTTTAGAGACGAGGTCTTACTATGTTGCCCAGGCTGGTCTTGAACTCCTGGGCTCAAGCATTCCACTTCCCTTGGCCTCCCAAGGTGCTGGGATTACAGGCATGAGCCATTGCACCCAGCTGTATATTGTTATTTGTGTGTATGTGTGTCTTTCATTTTTAATTTAGAACTATGGGTATCTTCCTGTATCATTTATATAACATTGCATTGACTTATTTGCTATTTAACTAGCCTCTATTATTAGATATTATTAGAGAGCCCCAGTTTTTTACTACTCAGAATGACATTGAAGTGATCATTTTTCTGAATTAAATTACATCTGCATTTTAAGTTACTTTTATCAAAAAAAATTATTTTTATACTTGAACCTTAGCAATAGAATTGATAGACCACAATGTCAGTTCATCCCCAAAGGGTTTTTTACAAACTATTTGTAGTGTTGTCAACCTCAGCTTCATCAGAATTTTGTGTGTGTGTGTGTGTGTGTGTGTGTGTGTGTGTGTGTCTAGTTTAATAAGAATAAAATAATTTTTTGGCCTTTTTCTTTATAAGAGATGAAAGAAGAGTTTCCCAGGACAAGACCCTACCAACGATTTGTGGGGGGGGTTTAAGTGGGCTCTGGCGATCCTTCTGCCTCAGCCTCCCAAGTAGCCAGAACTACAGGTGCGCGCTACCACGCCTGGTTCATTTTTTATTTATTGTAGAGACGAGGTCTCGCCAAGTTGCCCGAGCTGGTCTCGAACACACAGACTCAGGCCATCCACTCACCTTGGCCTCCCAAAGTACTGGGATGACAGGCTGAGCCACCGAGCCCAGCCCAACGATGTTCTTTTTTTTATTTATTTTTATTTTTTTGGTGGCTTAAGCAATATAGATTTATAATCTTAAAGTTCTGCAAGTTGAACATGGACAGCATTCAGCAAAAATCGAGGTGTCATCAGGGCTTTATCTCTTTCTGGAAGAGTCAGCAGGGCTCCTTTCATTTCCAGATGTGGGAGAATCTTTCTCTGCATTTCCCACCTTCTTGTAGTTGTTCCCATTCCTTGGCTCACGGCTCCCCTCCTCCGCCCTTGAAACTAGCAACCGCCCCCCCCAAGCGCTCCCCTTCCCTTTTCTGACTTGTCATTGCTGACCCCAGGATGCCAGGGCTGCCCCCTGCTGCTGAGTTCTGGAGTGACACCTTGTTCCCAGATGCCCAGGTGGAAATCTTTCCCAGAGGAGTCTGCCAAAGTTAGCGCCTCCCAACCAGACTCGACGTGGGCAAAGTGCCTGTGCTGGTCACCACAAGGCAGCGCATCGACGCCTTCAGTGTGGCCCGGGTTAACATGTGCCTGCGTGTGCCAGGCCCTGGGATTTCAAAGACGCATAACGTGTGGACAATGCCTTCACAGAGACGGTCCACCAGGGGAGACGATGAGTAAACTCACCGCGCCTCTCACCCTCGTTATTTCTCTCACACGCCCTTTGCTTTTTCTTTGGAGAACTTGATGTTTCAAAAGAGTACCTCCTCTTCCACACCCTAAGCCCAGGCCCAGACTTAACCTTCCATAGCTATTTGCAGGAGGCTGATAGAGCTGAGTCATGTCTCCTGAACCGCCATTCCATCATTAGGCTCTGTGGACAGCACTGGCTGAATTTCACTGGGTGCTTTGATGCCCACAACCCGAAGACACGCATCGTCAGTGAGCTCCTCTCCATAGACTTCTAGTCAATTCCTGTGGTGTACTTGGCAACCAGCTTCCCTGATGTCTTTCAGAATCGCCACTCTGGATAGGAAACAAAAGGCGTCATCAGCTTTTAAAAGCCAAATGGAAAAGGAGATAACAGATATAAAAATACATAATCATGTTCTTTTAAAAAAAACACATCACAAATGGAAGATACTGTCTCCCTCAAATCTTTCAGAAAGGTCATTTTTCCACCAGTCAGTTGTTAACATCTTTTCCAGAATAAACTTCAGTCTGCTGTATTGGATCATGGCCCCCACTTCCATCTTTTAATTTCACTTGTTTTTAGGTGGATAATTAAGCCATTGCTATTCTCTGTCTCTATTTCTTAAAAAGTTTTCTCCATTTTCACACTCATTTCTTTTTTCCCCCCCCAAAGGAGCAGACATTATTATTTTGTTTTACTGATGAGAAAACGGATGGTCAAACTGATAAAGAGATTAATCCAAGGTTATGACCCTATTCCTTGTACTGACCAAAGGAAAATTTCCCCTTCTCCCTCTGAAAGTGTGCTGAAAAGTTAACAAAAGGCAGATTAATTGGAGAAAAGGCCTACAAAAGTTGTTAAGGTGTACACAGGAGGCTTCAGAATGAAGACTCAAAGATACAGGAAAAATTCTCCATTGTTACGCTTAGGTTCAACAAAATATAGACAGGCACATAGAAATATGATTGGGCAAAAAGCATATGATCTGATACTCATCGCTGAGTAGGGACGCCCTGCAAGATCTGTCTGTCTAGGTTCTTCTTGGCCCCTATGAGCAGCATTTTTTCCTCTCTGGAAAGGGGGTGCCTTATGACCTACGGTCAAACAAAATAAGTCAGATACACACTCATTTCTAGACCTTTTCTCCACTTGTCTTCTCCTCCCATCACCCTGTGCCGATCCAACATTTCGCCTTTTTAGGACTAAAAGCAACATTTTCATCCCGACAGGGAAGAAAACAAAAATTTCCAATCAAATGCAGAAGCCACCCAGAGCAGTCCCGCCTTGGATGTTGTCCAACCGCAGAGTAAATTCTCTCTGATCCCCCCCAGTTCCATGGGGACACGGATGCCTTCTCTCCCTCCCTGGTTTCCTGAGCCCGCCACGCCCGAGGCAGAGCCAGCCCCACACCCTTTCCAGATCAGGGGTCCTAGGAAGCGAGCGCGGGTCGTCTGCCTTCTTCTTGGCGGTGTCTGACTCTCCCCGGTCTTCCCTCCCCACCCCTCCCCGCCCAGGCTCCCGCTGCCCTGGCTCCTGTTCACCGCCATCCACAGGTTCCAGCCCGTGGCCGTCAGCAGCAACGGCCTCTTCTGCGCCATCGTCCTCCTGTTCATCATGCTGCTCTTTGTCATCCTCTCCATCGCCCTCTGCAAGTGGCGGATGAACAAAGTGCTGGGCTTCATCATGTTCGGCCTCTACTTCGTGTTCCTGGTGGTCAGCGTCCTCCTGGAAGACAGAATCCTCACCTGCCCCGTCTCCATCTAGCGGGAAAAGCCATCTCTTGGACCCACCGCGTGGACGGTCCCTCCCCACTCTGGGCTCTGGGCTCCCGGGCCTCTTGGGGAGAGGCGGCCGGCACCCCGCCCCGGGTGCCAAGCGGCCCCCCTTGGCGGATCTGAAGAGGGATGGATTCTCACCGGGCCCGTCCACGTCACAGGCTGCCTCCACCCTGGCCTGCTGACATGACTTCACGTAAGGGACCGCGTGACCCTCACGACGGGGCCTCTCTCCCTTCACCACTGACAGGTACTCCTCGCTGGTCGGAGGTACATTCATTGACACGATGCAAACCCGGACAGAGGCTAGCATATACCTACAAGATATACATACTATAAATATACGCACATGAACACACAAACCCTGCCTGTTCCTGTATGATACCTCTCCTTCCATGCCGATAGATGAGTACATACTTGTAAATAAACACAAAGAAAGAAAAATTATATATATATATATATATATATATAATTATATATATATATATACATACAAATGCATCTTTTCAGGGACAGCACTAGTATATTTATGGTACCTACGTGAAGAGGGGCATCAACCTTCAGTCTGGGCTTTACCTCTTAAGTGCAACAGGCGAACTAATGGAATCTGTAGCCAAGAGTAGTGTTGCTGTGACCTTCAGCCTACCTTGGACTTACTGGGAACCTGCCTGGTAGGGAGATCGTTTCGGTGAGGAGGGCTTGGTGGAGAGCCCTCCAAAACATTCCCACAAGCCAGACTGGAAAGATTATCTGCCCACCCCCGCTGAGGTACCCTGACGGAAACTCACAGTTACTTAGGGCAGAGGTAAAACCCAGACTGAGTGGACATTGGTTTGGTGGCAGGGGGGTGGTAACCCGGATTGGTTGTTTTGTTTTGTTTTGTTTTTTCTTATATCGTCCCAGCATGCAAGTAGAAAATAATGACTACAAACCAAATTAGTGCTTGTTCTAGGACAGCAAGACTATCTAAACTGAACTGTATTTTTCCAACGCATGTCCCATTATCATCAAAAGCAGGGGTGTAGGTTTAACCGTGATTGCCATTTAGACATATTTTGATGCTAAGGGCTCACATATGGTCAAAATGCCTGCCAAGAGATCTTAGCTGAGTAATAAGAAACACCATTCAGTAGAGGCGCTCAGCGGGACTTGCCCCCTAATGGGAATGTACGGGCATGGTTTTTTAAAGCATTTTCCAATGTAGTCATAAAGGGCTTTAGCATCTAAAGAAAACATTACTCCCAATAGAACTAGATTGAATCTGATCAATGCCACTTAGATTGAGGCAGCTTAGAGATGTTTGGAAAGGCATTTGCATACTCAGCACACCCCAGGAAGGTTTCTGAGTCCTAGGTCAAGTTGTGCCAGGACCAGGATTTGGTTGAAGCCCATGGGACATCTGTGTCTCTCCTCCCATCAGGACCTCATTTGGGACTCTTTCTAGTTTTCAGAGTACACTAAAGATTATACTTGACAGCTTCTTTACACTGGTTTCCAGTCAGTCAGCCCAATCTTTTGATTTCCTGATTCTGCTCAGCATTACATAGAATATTTTCATTTCATACATTCAGCGCTCACACATTCTCAGGTCTAGGTCAGTAGAAAATAAAAATGGTGGGGGAGGAGGGAGGAAGGGGATGGGCAAATGAAATTGATAAAGGAAATATGTAGAGCGCTTTCCATTTCTTCCAAGCATGCTTTCCTTGAAATCAATTGAAAAAGTGAGCAGAGAATGGCCCCTTGTTCTGTCCTCATCCTGTGTCTAAGTTGGCACACATTTCATATGGGTATCTTCACCATATGCGTTCTTGTCTGCAATCTATTGTCATTCATGCCTGCTGTGATCTTATTGTGAGCACATGCCTCCTAGCACAGGGAAACAGGATGCAGAACTCATAGCTGAATAAGAGGAAAACTGACCTGAAAGCCCCAAATAAGCTCAGTGTTCCTTCCACAAAACCTCAGCTCACTTCTCAGAGCATGGCAATAACAGGGAGTGCCCATCGATGCTCTTCACCAGCAAGCAAAAGGTCCTTCAAAGTGGAGGTCCCTGGGAAAACAAGAAATTAAGGTGACTGCCGCCTAGGAGGCGAGACTTTCAGTCTCTCCAGCTTTGCTTTTCCAGATGTGTGAAAGAAACCTGCATCTCTTTCATCAAGGGCAGGACTTTGGGTTGAGGCGAAAACTTGTGCGGGTTCCCTAGAGTGGAAAAGATTTGAGGAAGCGGAACTTTCAGTTTATAAGCTCCGTTTGTTTTCCCTGTGAATTACTTGATGGGGGGGAGGGCAGGGCAAGGTTGGTTGTTGTGTGAACTCTGTATTACTGATGAGTTTGTTGTTTGAAAGATTTAAATAGATGACTGACTCAGCTGCGACAATGTAAAACAAGAAACAGTGAGGGAAATCCAGTGTCACCCTCTCCTTACTCCAAAACTTCCTGATCCTCGCCCCCCACCCCAAACTCCTTCCCCTTCATTCCCAGCTCACAGTGAAGGCTGACCCAAACAGCTATGGAGCACTTTACTAGCCTGGGAACTCCCCTTTATTGGGAGTGTTGTGGTCTTTAATGAAAAGTTGCATTTGAGAAGACAGCATTTCCAAGCCCGGTTCTCTCCTCAGTCATGTGCACTGAGCATAGCCTACAACAGCATCGTTCCCTGGCTGAATGGTACACACACACCTTCCACTGCTTGCCCTTGCTTTCCCTTCTTGTATGTATCTGTGACTGTGTGCTTGCGTGTTGGGTGAGGGTCCATTCAGAGAGAAGCGTATAACACACAACCGTGAGTCTTAAAAACACTCAAACCATTCACTTAATTATAAGAAAGAACTTTCCACATCATGGTTTCCAGAGAAGGCTATCTCTAACACCTTTCCTGCATGCCTATGTATATACATATATAAATATAAATAGATATATCTTTATACCAGAGCTATATGTGTACATATAATACGACTTACATCATCACCCTCTGACCCAATCACATTCAGGATTCAAAAGCAGGGAGTATCAAGTTTGCCAAAGCCAAGGAACAGAAAAGCATGCACTCAAGCCAAAGGGGCCATCTCTCCCTGATCTCATAAGGCCATTTGGTTCTGTGTACACACACACACACACACACACACACACACACACACACACCATATGTTCCCACCCTAAGAATATCAATCTATAGCCTTAAGGAAATGGCCAGCCATATCCCTAATGCTGACATAGAGGCAGAGAACATACAACAGAGCCAACGTTGAGACTGCAAATACTCTCTTTGCTTCTGGAGCAGGGTTTAAAATAATATCAAAAATTCAAGAGCCAGCGTTCGACTGCTCAATCTCAAATAAACGATTTGCACCCCAAGGGTTCCCTCTTCCCACAGCAAACCCAGCAGGTCTTGCTTTCTGACACCTCCCTAGTGCCCCTAGGCAGGCCCAGGACAGTAGAACCACTTGATTCAAACTGACAATCCCCAAATAGAAGCTTCTAAGTTGCAACTGAGAATGTCCATGCCATCTCCACCTGCCCTCTGAACCTGACAGTTCCTGATCAACTGATACTGGAGATTAGGTGGGGTGTTCATGCAGCTTCCCAGGACCTAAACGGAGTCGGGCAGTGACAGATCAAGAAAGGCAAGTACACATGCAGGAACTAAGGATAGGGTGGTTTATCTACTTGTCATATGCAGCAGAATCTCCTACAGCCTTGCCCAGAAGATTATAAAAACTGTGTCATCTTCAGGAAAAATGCTTTGTAAGGATTCTAACAGGTGTCACCTGACAGGAGCCATGACCATTTATTTTACGGGGAGGACATGAATCAGGTGGTTTGGAGCCCTTTCAGCAAAACACAGCTGCTTTGCTGATTAGACATTTGATAATGTTAATGTCCATCCTTTCCTGGGCAGGGAGAGAGTTGGCAAACACCCCACCATTGCTCATAGCTTCTAAATGCCTCTGTAACCGTGAAATAGCAGATGAGCTATAAAGGAAGCTCGTCCCCGGACCACCTTCACAGGAAGTTGACCAAGTACATGACCCCTGGTAGAGCTGCTAGCCAGAGAGAGTTGGAGAAGATGGAACTTGTGTCCCGTGCTTTGCGGAAATGACTGCACTGCACCGTCTGATGTGGGTCTGATAGCTTCTCTTAGGGCAAGCATTTCAGAAAATGGCAGTGTGCTTTCCTCCCCGCATCTACCAAACACACCTTCCCCCAAGAGGGGGTGCTTCTTTGCTCTGGATAGACTGTTACTCCAGTAAGTAACTGGCTACGTTATAGGTGGCAGCTCTGGTCCAGAAGAAATAAAGTGAAGTCGCTCTCAGGGTGATTTCTGGGGAAAACAACTGTCCCCTGAAAGCATGCAGAGAAGTTCATTAAGGCTCCTTCCTGCTAAGCCAGCGCCTACCTAACCATCTGGTTTAATGCTCTTAAAGAAACATCCTCAACCCCTATACTTTCTTCAACCATATTGACAAGGTAAGGCCTTGTCATTAAAAGAGTTAGTGGCGGGGGGGAAATAGAAGAATAAGGAAAGGGAAAGAAAGCAGAAATTAATTTACCTTTACTAGGATTCCCAGGAAATCAAATGTCACATTGAAATATATCCCTATGTCGTTTTAAATGATTACAAATATCACGCTATTTTAATCAATTACCGAGGCCCATTACAGTCTCGGATTTTTTTCAAAACACCCTTCTCAAGAAGGCCTTGGGAAAGAAAGGTAACCATGCCCTGCTCCACTGTCTGTTTAAGGCTAGCTTCCTGCCTCTACCTTTGTGTTTCATTTTAATCTTGCAGCTTCATATTTTCTGAAATATACAGCAAACAGAAAAAGCAATAAAGGAAATACTCACAGCCAGCTCAGCTCCATTACTTATGATTACACCATGGCAATATTTCTTTCACTTCACCAGGAGCTTGGGACCCGCACAGGCTGGGGTATGTAATCACCAGGCACAAGTAGACGTCTCTAGACATCATAGGCGCACTCATGTTTGTTCTGGAAGGAACGTGTTCTCCACATAGACACTCCCGCCCCCAACCAACGCGTGCACCGGTGTTTTGCATACCTTCCTCATACATGGGGAATCAGTCTTGCTCAGAACCACCCAGATACCACAGAGGTCCTAAATCTGGCTGAGGACAGTTTTCTTAAGAGTAAGAAAGCCACAAAGGACAAGCGAATCCACAAGTCAGCCAGCTTTTGGCAGACCAAAATGACCCTGCAGTTTTGACCGGATCGGCAACTATGTTCAAATCCGTGTATAAACAGGGACTGAATGGAGCACCGTGTTATCTAAGCCAAAGCACTTTTACTAAGTGATTCACTGACAGATTAGAAAACCAACTGAATTAAAAAAAAAAAACAGATGAATAGCTAAGTTGAAAGAATATCATGGAGTTTGCATAGGCTCCCACCAAAGATTTAATTCCAGTAAGAGTCTTGTTCAGCCTATCACCCCAATCCGAAGGACAACCCTCTTATGGGAAAGGGACCCCAGCATACGTGTTGCTGGTGTAACCAAGTTCAATGTCTAAGAACCATCGACATCAAAAAAAGTCTCCCTCCATGTTAATTCAAGCCCCTCCAGTTGATGACAACCTATTTTTTTTTTTTTTTTTGTCTTTTTGGAAGAAAGTAACTGCATCTGGGCAGTCTTCATTCTTTACCCTTGACACAGTTGGAAGTCCCTACTATGTGACCCTTGGCCTATTTTCATCAAAAGTATCTTTAGGCTTTTATTTCTGAGTCTTTTTTTAAACCCTCACTGATTTTTAGAGTTCCTCCCTACTAAGCCTTTTAAAATTCTTCCTACGGTTCTTCAATGATGGAACCTTATGACTAATCGTGACAGAAGTGTAGGGTCTTGAACAGTGCTGAATTACGGCACTCTCAGGAGGCCCTGGCAAGGTCAAGCGCACTGTTTTCAAGGTCATCATCCCACACTCACAAAGAACTCAGAATGGGGGAGACACTACTTTAGATCATTCGAAAACTCTGGGCCTGCACTTGCCTGCATTGATTCACCAAAATTCACCATTAATGTTTTTATTTTAAATAGCAAATCGGGGACATGGTTGGAGCTCCGCTTACCAATCGGTGCTGCGGTATGTTTACTTCCTTTCGTGTGGTAGGCTGGATGGGACTTGTAAAGTTGCCGATTGGTGTCCTGGCCTAGGATGATGGGCTGGGTTCACCAAAAGGAGGACAACTTGCTCCTGCGGCTGCATATTCCTTCAT